TATATTATATATATATTATATATATATATTATATATATGTATATATCATATATATATTATATATATATTATACATATATTTTCATATGTATATATATATATATATATATATATATATATATATATATATATATATATGTATGTATGTATATATGTATATAAACACACATGCATAGGGAAGTAATGCAAACGGGGGTCCAGAGCCATGTCCACCATTTGTTTCCACCTTGTAGTGTCCCTCATGGTGAGCCACTCAGTAGGGTACTTGGACCATCTCTTGTTCTTCACAACAAATCTAATGAATTTGCCTAAGCCACGACTTCTGATGTTGTCCCACAGGCCTCCTCCACCCAGGTTGGCTCGAACATAGACTACCTGGTGGTCAGGATCATTCTGTGGGAAATGAGCCAGGTACACATCAAGACCAAATTCCAAGGCACAGGTTTCACTACCATATAGTAAAACTGGTAGTATCAGTGCCTTGAATATATATAACTTGGTCATTAAGCTCAGGCACTGTCAGACTCAAATGCTCTTGTTGAGAGCCAGGCCTGTCTGTCTACTGACTGCCAGGTCTGACAGCCCAGAGTCATGAACTACACTAGATGCTCAACAGGTCCTCACCACACTTTACAGCACTTTCAGTTCCAGTATATAGGATAGCTGTTAAGCCAATAATCCTTGTTGGTATTCCTCTCAGTCTTAGGATCTCCCAGAGTGATTCACAGTGCACTGTATGGAAAGCCTTCTTTGAGGTCAATTTAAGCTGCAAGCAGCCCACTCCCGAATTCACAATGGTTCTGTACAGTGACTCAAAGTGCCATTATATGGTCTGTTGTGGACTTAAAAGGAGTGAATACAAAATGCTCTGGACCCTGGTGCCTCAGCAGGTGGTCTTTGATATGTCTCAGAAGGATGTGACCTAGAACCTTGCATGGTACACTGAGCAGAGAGGGATGACCACACCTCTCAACAAGTCAGGGGGAATGGTACCAGTCTGCTAGATGGCAGCCAGGACAACATGCAAGCCCTTCACCATAGGTTCATTACTAGCTTTTAGCAAAACAAATGGGATGCTGTAGATACCTGCTGTTTCACCTCTCTTCAGCTTGGTGATGGTTGAAGGTGTCCCATAGCAGTGCAGGGTTCATCAGGTTGCCGAGTGCTGCAAAACAACCAAAGATAGCCTCAGCAAACCCACAGACATGCTCCACCTCCCTCAACCTGTCCATGTGAAACACCCAAGGGTGATCATTAGCCACATTACCCGCATCATTGTGAAGCTAAATACAAGCTTTAGTGTCAGTATTATGAACACTCATTGACTGGAGTAGCTTCTGCTACTGAGGGCTGAAGTCTGTTGGAAATGGCTATGGCTACCCCCAAAGATTATGACCGTGGCCTGACCAGAAATAGGTGTAGCCACCCACACTGATCGTGCTGATGTCAGGTCTTCTCACCTCCAAGAGAGCAGCCATCTCAACTCTCAGCCACTTCAGTTCCCTTCACAACCAATTATCATGCTGAAAAGAGCAGACATTCCATGCCCCCACACTTAGGGCTTTCTTAAGGTTAAGCCTTGGGCATTCACTCCAGGTGGATGCCACTTCTGCTACCTCCACTGACAGTGCCCCATATAGAGAGGGCTGGCTGGCTGCAAGTCCAAAAATTAGACTTAAGAAGTCCTGTGGGCCTTGCCCCATAAGCCTCATATATGTACATAAATATAAATATACATACATACATATACATACATACATACACATACACATACACATACACATACACACATACACATACATATATACATACATACACACATGTATACATACATACATACACATACATGCATACATATACACACATACATACATACATACATGTATACATACATACATACGTACATACATACGTACATACATACATACACACAAACAAACATACACATACATACATACATACATGCATACATGCACACATATACACAAACACACACACACACACACACACACACACACACACACACACACACACACACAAACATTATATATATAAATACACATATATACATGATACAGATATATACATATATACATATGTGCATAAATACATAAATGTACTTTTATGTATATGTATATATTTATTACATATATGTATACATATATATGTGTATGTATATATACATTATATATATATACAAATACACATACATATATATATGAATATGCATATATATAATATATCTTGATACATATTTGTGTACATATATATATATATACATGTATATAAATTTGAGTCTAAAATATATATATATATATATATATATATATATATATATATATATATATATATATATATATATATATATATATATATATATATATATACGAGTATATATACGAGTATAAATGTATATATACATATATATGCACATATAAATATACATGCAAATATACATATATACATAATGTGTGTATATATGTGTGTATATATATATATATAGATAGATAGATAGATAGATAGATAGATAGATAGATATATATATATATTTAACCCAATGGTGCCGGGGAAAATGAACAAAAAATGGGGAAAATATTCTGCCCACTTTCTATGTTTTTCGTGAAATGTCTGCCGATAGATGGCTCTGCTAGCGCCTGAATTAAATGGCGTATTTTTCACTAGTGCTATGAAAATCGATGGTGTTATTTTTATCATAAACATTATAATTTTTGTAATCTTTTTTTAACATTAGTAACAGTAAAATAAGATTACGTAAAAATATTTTGTAAATCAAAGAAACGGGTAAACGGGCGAGACGGGCGGTGCTCGTAACTGGCTCATTGGGGAGTAAGTACAAGTGTTGCCATCTATGCGTAAAAACAATCAAACAAGTACTCACTGTG